CGCTAACCTGTATAAAGGCAGCCGGAGCGGGGCCAGTTTAAACCCCAGGGCTTTTATTTAAACAAACTTGGAAGACACCCATTAGAAGATGTTTCACGATGTTAAGTTTTTACTACACACATATAATGAAAAACAACAATCTACCCCCCTGCTTCCGCCCCCCCCCCCTTGGCAGGGCCAATTTTAACCCAAGGGCTTTTATTTGAACAAACTTGGTAGACACCCATAAGAAGATGTTTCATGCTAAACATCTCAGCTCTAAGCTCATTTTTTAAGTTTTTACTATACACATATAGTTAAAACCAATGACACCCCTGGGGCGGGGCCAATTTTGACCCCAGGGCTTTTTTTTTAACAAACTTTGTAGACAATTACTAGAAGATGTTTCATGCTTAATATCTAAACTCCAGCTATTTGGGTTTTTTCAAAGAAGATTTTTCAGTTTTTGCTATACAAATATAAGGAAAATCAATAACACCTGGGGCGGGGCCAATTTTGACTCCAAGGCTTTTATTTGAACAAACTTTGTAGACACTCACTAGAAGATGTTTCATGCTTAATATCTTAACTCCAGCTATTTGGGTTTTTTCAAAGAAGATTTTTTTAAGTGTTTGCTATATACATAGAAGGAAAATCAAAGACCCCCGGGGCGGGGCCAATTTTGACCCCAGGGATTTTATTTGAACAAACTTGGTAGACACCAATTAGAACATGTTTCATGCTAAATATCTTAGCTCTAGCTCTTTGAGTTCTTTAAAAGAAGATTTTTTTAAGTTTTTACTATATGCATATAGGGAAAATCAATGACCCCCTGGGGCGGGGCCAATTTTGACCCCAGGGCTTTTATTTGAACAAACTTGGAAGACACCCATTAGAAGATGTTTCACGATGTTAAGTTTTTACTACACACATATAATGAAAAACAACAATCTACCCCCCTGCTTCCGCCCCCCCCCCCTTGGCAGGGCCAATTTCAACCCAAGGGCTTTTATTTGAACAAACTTGGTAGACACCCATAAGAAGATGTTTCATTCTAAACATCTAAGCTCTAGCTCATTTTTTAAGTTTTTACTATACACATATAGTTAAAACCAATGACACCCCTGGGGCGGGGCCAATTTTGACCCCAGGGCTTTTATTTGAACAAACTTTGTAGACAATTACTAGAAGATGTTTCATGCTTAATATCTAAACTCTAGCTATTTGGGTTTTTTCAAAGAAAATTTTTCAGTTTTTGCTATACAAATATAAGGAAAATCAATAACACCTTGGGCGGGGCCAATTTTGACTCCAAGGCTTTTATTTGAACAAACTTTGTAGACACTCACTAGAAGATGTTTCATGCTTAATATCTAAACTCCAGTTATTTGGGTTTTTTCAAAGAAGATTTTTTTAAGTTTTTGCTATATACATAGAAGGAAAATCAAAGACCCCCGGGGTGGGGCCAATTTTGACCCCAGGGCTTTTTTTTGAACAAACTTGGTAGACACCAATTAGAACATGTTTCATGCTAAATATCTTAGCTCTAGCTCTTTGAGTTCTTTAAAAGAAGATTTTTTAAGTTTTTGCTATATAAATAGAAGGAAAATCAATGACCCCCGGGGCTGGGCCAATTTTGACCCCAGGGCTTTTATTTGAACAAACTTTGTAGACACTCATTAGAAGATGTTTCATGCTTAATATCTAAACTCTAGCTATTTGGGTTTTTTTCAAAGAATATTAAGTATTTACTTTATGCATATAGGGAAAATCAATGACCCCCTGGGGCGGGGCCAATTTTGACCCCAGGGCTTTTATTTGAACAAACTTGGTAGACACTCATTAGAACATGTTTCATGCTAAATATCTTAGCTCTAGCTCTTTGGGTTCTTTAAAAGAAGGTTTTTTAAGTTTTTACTATATGCATATAAGGAAAATCAAAGACCCCCTGGGGCAGGGCCAATTTTGACCCCAGGGCTTTTATTTGAACAAACTTGGTAGACACTCCCTAGAAGATGTTTCATGCTAAATATCTTAGCTCTAGCTCTTTGGGTTCTGTAAAAGAAGATATTTTAAGTTTTTACTATATACATATAGGGAAAATCAAAGACCCCCTGGGGCCAGGCCAATTTTGACCCCAGGGCTTTTATTTGAACAAACTTGGTAGACACTCATTAGAAGATGTTTCATGCCAAATATCTATGCTCTAGCTCTTGGGGTTTTTTAAGAGAAGATATTTAAAGTTTTTTCTTTCGGTTGCCATAGCAACAAGAGTTCTGCATGGAATTAAATTCTTTGAACAATTTTTAAAGGTGACCACCAAAGGAACATTCCTGTGAAGTTTGGATGAAATTGGCTTAGTGGTTTATGAGGAGATGTCATTTAAAGTAAAAGTTTTCGGACGGATGGACGGACGAAAAGCGATCACAAAAGCTCACCCTGTCACTTTGTGACAGGTGAGCTAAAAAGACGTGCATAATCTCCATACAGCCATTAATCCATATATCAAGTTTCATAAAAATATTTTCAGTCCTTTTTGCATTATCGCGGGACCAAGTAACTAAGTAAAATTTTGAATTTTTTGTAGAGGACCACACGATGATGCTATGTACATTACAAATATCTTAGCTCTAGGCATTATAGTTTCTCTGGAGAAGTCCTATACTAGTTTTACTGTACAAGTCTATATTAATTATATTATATTATATGGTATTTGCTTAAAATCACTTGTCTGTAATTCATGTTTATACCTTTTTAAATGATTTCAGTCAAATACTGTATAAGTGGTTAATTTTGTAACATGGAAATATTTGCAATTTTTACTAATTGAAATTATTCGCAAATAATGCAAATATTATTTCTTTTCAGGCAAACTTTCTTCTATAATTTGAAAGCACGTTTTCATATGTTATTCATTACATGAATAAGTTTTGACTGTTCAGGTACTGAGATTAAATTGTTTGTTTGTTTAAAAGTTGGGTCTTAACAAATCACAAATATTTTAATGAAACAATATATGTGTTAATAACACAATAGTGAAATTAACAAGGCAGACAAAAGACCTCCCGTAACAAAAATATATATGTACGAGTATGTTAAATACCTTTTTTTTTTCAATGCACTCAACATATTAAAATTGCAACATATATATTTGTTGTTATTTTCAATTGGCCTAAGTTTGTGTATGAGCTTGAACCACCTTTCATTCAAAATATACCTTTCTAAAATGTTTACTGAGGGAACTTTTTACACGAATGTTGTTAAAAACAGTCACTTTTAAAAGTAAATGACTCGTTACAAGGCACATTATAAATGTCTTGGACTTTTAATTTTAGTTAATTTAAACGTCTTTTCAGTGAATAAATATGCACATATAGATTTTAGCACTTTGTTAGCCGGGTCAAACATCAGATATGATACAGGAGTCTAAAAAGAAAAGAATATGTTGTTAATTCATTGCCTTTATTCTTTCTCATTAAAACATGGCAGAGACTGCCATTGCATAACAACATAAATGTGGCATAATAACATTTAACTTATTGTTCACAACTAAAAAATAACAATGTTTCAACTTTACTCATGTCTAGGGGTACATGCAAAGAGTATTAAAATATAAATCATTATCATGATAATACTGAAATGTAAAATGTTTGGAATGAATAATAATAACCTGATTAACAACACAACCTTAATTATTTATATATCTGATTGAAATAAGAACATATTAAACTGATGATTACTAAACTGCTACTATAGATACTTAACTTGAGAGTTCACTATTATGCATAAAACAATAACAACCTAAATCATTGGCACAAATGATAATACTGACAATTAATTTATTTGGCACTTATAACTGTATATAATTAACAAAAGATGAAAGATAATAATGAATTATTATATGTTCAGCTCTACAAATAGCATATAAACAATGTTCAAAACAATGTTTTATATGTTGACTTTATGTCGGTTTATTTAACAATGTTCAAAAGACAAAACAATATGTTATATGTTCGACTTTAAGTCTTAAGCCTTTGGGTTCATTTTACAAAGCTCTTTCCAAATACAAATGTATGGCATAATACATGCTTTTCTAAATAATTGTCTAAACAATTATTAAACTGTATTTTACTTATAAAAAGTTCATAATTATCATGTAAAATGCGTATTAACAATAAACAGTAAAAATATGATGATATAAAAGTTGAATCTCAAAATACGTATGCAAAATGTTTATCCTCGAAAACATATGACTGTAAACTTTAAACATGTTTGCCAACTAAACAATGCAGTGTCAGGGATAACAGTTATGATAAACGAAAAATACAATGAATAAACCTATCGAGGAAAGTCTTTTTCTTTCTCTTACTTGTAAATACTTACCTTAAAAAGAAAAGAATATGTTGTTAATTCATTGCCATTATTCTTTCTCATTAAAACATGGCGGAGACTGCGCCAAATTACCGCGAAGAAAAACACCGCAAAGAACGCTCAACATTTTTTTATAGGGGTGCCTTAATCCTTAAGCTATATTTTAAGGGGTGCCTTAATCACCCTCACAACTTATTATTCAGATCCCTGTCAGGAATGTGCTCAAGCTCATACAAACACCCTTATACCAATGGAAAACAAAAATATTTATGATTACAATTTTAATATGTTGAGTGCATTGAAAAAAAACCCAATAAACTATTCAACGTACATATATGTATTTGCTGTACATATATGTATTTGCTGGGGGAGGGCTTTTGTCTGCCCTGTTATTTTCATGGGAGGGCTTTTGTCTGCCCAGTAATTTTTACGGGAGAGCTTTTGTCTGCCCTGTCATTTTCACAGGAGGGCTTTTGTCCCCCTTGTCATTTTTGGACAGGAGGGCTTTTGTCCTACATTCTATGAGTCCACACCTCCTTTCTTGATAACTTTATGTAGGGTATTGAGGCACGCTATTTTTCATGTGGAATTCACAATATGGAAACAAAAACACATTTTTTTGTAAAATGTCACAAAATACAAAGTCGTCATTTCTTCTTCAACTCAACTTTTATTCTTAAATTTTACAATAAAACAATTTACAATTACAAAGTACAAGTGCTCTAAATATATATCAAGGGAGAGCACTGACAGAAAATTTTACAGGTCTGCAAGAGTGCTCAAACCTGCAGAACAACATGTAGTATAATCCTGTAATTTTCTTTTATCAGTCTTTTTCTTCTTCATATTTGTAAACCTACTTTCTCTTTTTGATGCTTCAATTTCAACACTTTTTTTCTTCTAAGTCAGGTTTGCATGCTTATTTATCCATATTTGAATCTTTTTCTCTCATTTAGATATTTTTTAACAAACTTTTAGATCCTGACTCATTAGATATTCTCTGAAGTCAAGCACTTGTGTGTACATCTTGTGTTACTTTTAAAGGACCTATAATGTATGCAATAAATATTCATTCTGTGTCAGTTAAAGACCAACCTTGCAATGTTTACTAATTTTCATACACAGAGTCTATAGCTCACATACCTTCCTGCAGTCTCACTAGGTCTAATAATCTTAACAACCTGAAAAGGTAACACAGGAAATTATAGTATGCATATACATATTTCAGGTTTCTTTCATTTAAAGAGATACTATGCCAGTATTTGGAAATTTAAAGCACCACTTAGTTGTAATCAAGACATCCTTACCAATGGAAAATAAAAAAATTATGAACTTATTATTCACCTGTAAAATTTCTGCCTTATGGGAGCAACCAAAAAACCACCATATTCACTTTAAAAGGCAAGGTAATAACATGGCTTAATATAGGCTCATATATAGCTTTAGGGAGGCCAAGATTATAAACAAATGGACAAGCTTATTTTACTAAAAAATTGACCACAAAGGGACCATAATTTTGTCCCCCCCCAAAAAATTCAATTGTAAAATAAAGATACTATGCACAACTAGGCATGGTGACAAACAATCCTGCTAAGTTTCAATGAAAGCCCCCAAGCAGTTTTGGAGATGAAGCGCGGACAACCTTATTTTACTCAGAAATTGCCTGACTGTAATGCTGCCCAAAAAATCTAACATCGGCCAATATCGTAGCAAATTGGTTATTTCCGGAACATTATTTTTTTCAAAATCTTGGGAACAGAAACAGTAGCCCCTAGAGTGGTAACAAGGTTTTTCAATATTTCGGATGTGTAAACTAGTTTTTTCCCCAAAAGTGATCCATATTTTAACTTGAAAACAACCTTTTCGACCAGTTTCCAGGATATTTGGGCCTAAACAGTAGCCCCTAGAGTTTACAAATATCTATTTTTAGCTCCTGTAACATACATGTAGTTATTCATTCAATTTGACCCGAGCAATTACTTTGACAAACATCCTGACCAAGTTTGGTAACAATTAAGGCAAAATGTGACCATTAGAGTGTTAATGAACTAAATGTTGACAGATGACAGACAACATACGAGGGTGTATCAATAAATTGGTATACTAATTCAATAGCGTCATAACTTCTGGTCCGTTTAAAATGAAACTTTAAATGCTATGAAAACAGGTTATTTCAAATTGAATTGTACTATGTACACAACTTTGACATCATCACTTATGACGTCATAAACCGTAAATGACGTCATGTTACAGGCGTCCGTTTGAAAATGGTGTCACACAGCTTCAACGAACAGCACATGGTTATAAAGTTTTATACAAAACACGGAAAGTCTTTTTCCAATATTCGTGAAGATTTAAAAAAAAGTTTATGGAAAGGCTGCTCTGTCAAAAGGTGCCATTTCAAAGTGGATTAAGCGGTTTAAAGACGGTAGAGAGGCAACTGAAGACGACATTTGTGCAGGTAGACCAGTGACTGTAATAGATGAAGAAACAGTGGCTGCCATTCAGGAGCACATACTCTGAGATAGACGAGGAAGTGTGGAGCACATAGCAGATAAGTTCTCTATTTCATATGGTACAGCTCAGGGCATTATGACTGATAGATTAGGAATGCGCCACGTTTCAGCAAGATGGGTGCCTCGTTTGTTGACGTCGGAGCAGATGGGGGTAAGGGTGAAAATGTGTCAGCAGTACGACAGGAGGTATCGTGAAGAAGGCGATTACTTTCTAAATCGAGTGATAACATGTGATGAAACGTGGATTCACTTTTTTGAACCGGAAAGCAAACGTCAGAGTTCTGTCTGAAAGCATCCTTCCTCGCCTTCCCCTACAAAAGCGATAATTTCCAAGTCAGCCGGGAAGGTTATGGCCATTATATTCTGTGATACATACGGTGTAGTGCTAAACCACTTTGTTCCTCCGAAAACGACAGTCACTAGGAACTATTATGCAACATTACTTAGAACGGAACTCATGGCCGCAATAAGGAGAAAGAGCCCACATCTACTTAGGTCCGGATTCATATTACATCAGAAGAACGCGCCGAGCCATTCAAGCCACATTGTCATGGATACACTAGAAAAACTTGACGTGGAACTGTTATCGCACCCACCCTACAGCCGGACCTAGCAATTTGTGACTTCTGGCTGTTTCCAACTTTAAACTAGAAATGTGTCCATAGGACACGGGTGCCCCCACCGCGCCACTGTTCAGTCAATCTTTTTACTAAGTCAAGGGAAATAACTCTACAAATACTGGATAAATCCACAAGCGAAACCCCAGGTGCAAATCTAAATATGCTGAGCAACCTGCCCATTAGGTTTAATGACTATGTCAAATCCTTTTTGAGTAGCATGCGACACAAGTTGAAAATTGCAAAAAATTTCTAAGTGAAGGGCAATAACTCTAAAAATACTAAATAAATCCAGACAAAAATACCTGGTGCACAACTGCACATGCTGATCAATATTCCTGTAAAGTTACATGACTCTAGGTCAAATACTTTTTGAGTTACATGCGACACAATTTGAAAATTGCAAAATTTTATTAAGTCAAGAGCAATAACTCTGAAAAAACTAAAAATATCCAGAAGAAAATACCCAGGTGCACAACTACACATAATGATCAACATTCCTGTAAAGTTTCATGACTCTAGGTCAAATACTTTTTGAGTTACGTGCGACACAAGTTGAAAATTGCAAAATTTTACTAAGTCAAGGGCAATAACTCTGAAAATACTAAAAATATCCAGACGAAAATACCCAGGTGCACAACTACACATGCTGATCAACATTCCTGTAAAGTTTCATGACTCTAGGTCAAATACTTTTTGAGTTACATGCGACACAAGTTGAAAATTGCAAAATTTACTAAGTCAAGGGCAATAACTCTTAAAATACTAAAAATATCCAGACGAAAATACCCAGGTGCACAACTACACATGCTGATCAACATTCATGTAAAGTTTCATGACTCTAGGTCAAATACTTTTTGAGTTACATGCGACACAAGTTGAAAATTGCAAAATTTTACTAAGTCAAGGGCAATAACTCTGAAAATACTAAAAATATCCAGACGAAAATACCCAGGTGCACAACTACACATGCTGATCAACATTCCTGTAAAGTTTCATGACTCTAGGTCAAATACTTTTTGAGTTACGTGCGACACAAAAGTGAACGGACGGACGGATGGACGGACGGAAGGACGGACTGACGGACGGACAAGGGTAAATCTAAATGCCCGCCACTATCGTGGGGGCACAAAAACAGTCTTTGTGGTACAAAATTTGAGTCAAGAGAGGAACTGAGGTGTGCCATGGACAGATAGCTGCGGAAGATGTCACGTGACAGGCTACAACACATGTTCTAGTCATGGGTCGAGAGATGGGACAAGTGCAAATCGTGCATGGGACATTACTTTGAGAAGGAGTAATCATTTTAGGTACTTGAATTAAATCATTTATTGAATTAGTTTACGAATTTTTTGATGAACCCTCGTACATTCCTCGATCCTAAAAGTTAACCAAGAGCCAGCTCAAGTGTGCTTACAAGAACTGTTGGTAGGACAGCACGCTCGACTATTGTAAGTTATATGATATTAAAAGAGTCTTGATAATGTAAAATTTTCTAAGTTTTCAAAGTCGAAGATCCAAAACATTTTTCAAATCCATGCTACAGTGAGAGGCCTTGGAGAGTGACCTATTATGCTCTCAAACAAGTGTATGAAGTTTCAACTCGTTTCACAGCCAGATGTCAAAGGATTTTGAACATATTTAATGTTGTACGCAAGCTTTTATGTTAATTCAAGTCAAACAAGAATTTGTAACAGAGTTACCAACGTCCCCCGCCTCAGGGAAGTTTTATATGAAGCATAAAATTGTGCTATTTCAAAAGATTGAGGTATGGATCTCAGGACTTTCAGTCCAAAATTATGATCAATGCTAGATCTGCAAATGCAACAATAAATTTATTAAAGAAATAAAATGAAACACGGAATTTAAAAATCTATAATGATAATCTTTGACCTCTAAGTGTGACCTTGACCTTTGAGGTAGGGTCTGCAGGTGTTGTGCATGACATATCATCTTATAATTGTAACTATTTGTGCCAAGTATTTTCAAAATCCCTTGAACTATGAAGAAGTTATAGATCGGACACAAAATATACCCTATAAAAGACTATGTTAATCTTTGACCTCTAAGTGTGACCTTGGAGGTAGGGACCCATGTTTTGCGCCTGACATATCGTCATATTATTGTGATTATTTGTACCAAGTATTTTTAAAATCCCTTGATCTATGAAGAAGTTATGAACGGGACACAAAATATACCATATAACAGACTCTGTTAACCTTTGACCTCTAAGTGTGACCTTGACCTTGTAGGTAGGGGTGCAGGTGCTGTACTTGACATATTGTCTTATTATTTTGACTATTTGTGCCAAGTTATTTCAAAATCCCTTGAACTATGACGAAGTTCTAGATCAGACACAAAATATACCCTATAACAGACTATGTTAATTTTTGACCTCTAAGTGTGACCTTGACCTTTGAGGTAGGGCTGCAAGTGTTGAGCATGACACATCGTCTTATAATAGTGACTATTTGTGCCAAGTATTTTCAAAATCTTTTGATCTATGAAAAAGTTATGGACCGGACACAAAATACATGTACAGCCAATAACAGACTATGTTAATCTTTGACCTCCAAGTGTGACCTTGACCTAGGAGTTAGATGACCAGTTGTGGCACATGACACATCGTCTCATTATTGTGAACAATTGTGGCAAGTATTTACAAAATCCCTTCATAATTTAGAAAGTTATGGACCGGACACAACATATACCCTCAAATAGACAATGTTGACCTTGAATGAGCAAGTGAGACCTTGACCCTGGTAGGGGTCTGGTTGTTGCGCATGAAACATTGTCTTATTATAACTAACATTTGTACCAAGTTATTTCAAATTCCTTTGATAAATGACAAAGTTATGGACCGGACACGAAAATGTGACGGAGGGAAAGACGGAAGGACGGACAGACCGACGGAGCCTATTTCTATATCCCCCTTTTTTCTTTGAAAAGGCGGGGGACAAAAAGGGGGCATAATTCTGTCAAATTCTTTCATATAGTTACCTCCTCCTGTCTACATGTTGGGGCATAATGGTGAACAAGTGTGCAACGTTCTAAAGCCATATGTCAATGGACATAAAATATATGTGTTGGTATGCAAACTTTAACATAAGTGGTTACCCCAATGCTGATGCCAATGGTAAGGTGACTTCGAATAGTTGAGCTAAAAATCATAAAAATATTACAAGCAAGCATCTACCTGTCCTCTTTTCAATCCAAAATATCTGGCTACAGGATCACCTTGCTGTATTCTAGGTAGTTGAGATTCCTTTAGTTTACTGTCATAAAGTTAAGGCCATGAACTGTTGCTTAAATTACAATATTTGTTTTTGTTAATGAAACATATTTTAGCAAAATGGATTACTTTGAACATATGTATAAAATTTCAACATTGATAAATCACATTTTCACTCTGCTTCCTGCACCAACCAGTGGTCTTCCTGCACTACAACCTGCTTACCTGAGGAAGCATTGTCAACTAGAAATGTGTCCATAGGACACGGGTGCCCCCACACTCCACCAATTTGTCAATCTTATGTCTCTAGGTCAAATTTTTTTTTTGGCTACATGTGCCCAAGTTGAAGACTAAAAATCTTTTATTAAGTAAAGGGCAAATACTACAAATACTGAACAAATCCACAAGAAAACCCCAAGGTGCATAAGTACACATGCTGATCAACATTCTTGGCCTACAGGTCATAAAATTTTTGAGTTACGTGCAACACAAGTTAAATATTGTGAATTTTTACTAAGTCAAGGGCAATAACTCTAAAAATATCCACAGGAAAATACCCAGGTGCACGACTACACATGCTGAGCAACATTCCTGTAAGGTTTTATGACTCTAGGTCAAACACTTTTTTAGTTACATGCGACACAAGTTGAAAATTGCAAATTTTTACAAATTCAAGGGCAATAACTCTCAAAATACTAAATATATCCGCACAAAAATACCCAGGTGCACAACTACGCATGCTGATCAACATTCCTGTAAGGTTTCATGACTCTAGGTCAAATACTTTTTTAGTTACGTGCGACACAAGTTGAAAATTGGAAATTTTTTACTAAGTCAAGGGCAACAACTCTAAAAACACTAATAATATCCACATTAAAATACCCAGGTGAACAACTACACATGCTGAGCAACATTTTTGTAAGGTTTCATGACTCTAGGTCAAATACTTTTTTAGTTATGTGCGACACAAGTTGAAAATTGGAAATTTTTTACTAAGTCAAGGGCAACAACTCTAAAAACACTAATAATATTCACATGAAAATACCCAGGTGAACAACTACACATGCTGAGCAACATTTTTGTAAGGTTTTATGACTCTAGGTCAAATACTTTTTTAGTTAGGTGCAACACAAGTGGAAAATTTTTACTAATTCAAGGGCAATAACTCTAAAAATACTAAATATATCCACACAAAAATACTCAGGTGCACAACTACACATGCTGATCAACATTCCTGTAAGGTTTCATGACTCTAGGTCAAACACTTACTTAGTTACCTGCGACACAAGTTGAAAATTGGAAATTTTTACTAATTCAAGGGCAATAACTCTAAAAATACTAAATATATCCACACAAAAATGGTCAGGTGCACAACTACACATGCTGATCAACATTCCTGTAAGGTTTCATGACTCTAGGTCAAACACTTACTTAGTTACCTGCGACACAAGTTGAAAATTGGAAATTTTTACTAATTCAAGGGCTATAACTCTCAAAATACTAAATATATCCACACAAAAATACGAAGGTGTACAACTACACATGCTGATCAACAGTCCATAAATGTTTCATGACTCTAGGTCAAATTTTTTAGTTATGTGCGACGAAAGTTGAAAAATGGCAAATTTTTAATAAGTCAAGGGCAATAACTCTAAAAATACTAAATATATCCACATGAAGATACCAAGGTGCACAACTTCACTTGGTGATCAACATTTCTGTAAGGTTTCATGACACTAGGTCAATTACTTTTTGAGCTACATGCGACACAAAAAGGGAACTGACGGACGAACAAGGGAAAATGTAAATGCCCCCCCCCCCCCCACTATAGTGGGGGCACAAAAATCCTCAATCATTGGCCAGAGAGTTATACTAAACAGAAGTCTTTTATTCTGTAAATCTACTCACTATATCTACTTATAGACATGTATACCACTTCAATAGTAAAGGATATGAAACTCCTGATTACTATTTTTCAAAACAAACTATCAGAGGTGAAAAGTTAATAGTTGTTTCATTAAATTGGTTTTTGGTACAAATACTTACAAATACCAATCGGTTTTAATACAGGTCTTCTCCCAAACTAGATAGTTTTCTCACACCATTTAACCTTCCAAAGCTAGATGGTTTTCCAACACTATTTAAACTCTTCCAAGCTATATAGTTTTTGGACACCATTTAAACTTTCCCAAGCTAGATTTTCTGATACTTAACTTAAACTCTCACTAGACAACACAGATTTCCAATACATTTTAAATATCTTAAGCTACATAGTTTTCTGACACTACTTAAACTCTCCAAAGCTAGTTTTCCAAAACTGAACTCTCCCAACCTAGATAGTTTTCCAACACTATACAATGTAGCTAGATAGTTTCTGACACTTTTTAAACTCGCTCAGGCTAGATAGTTTCCTGACACTATTTAAAGACGTTTTCGGTAGTTTTCTGTGCGCATCGTTATGCGCATCCAAGAAAGATAATCACGGATAATTACTCTTCAAATGAAGGTAAAGTTGAATAGTATTCGGATAAGTGTTTAAATTTCAGCTATAAGCAAATAATGAGTAAATAATACAGAATAGATATTTCTAAATGTTCAAAAGGAGATTGGTTCAAAAATTGATATATTTTAAAAGTGTTGAATCAAAAAACAAAATTAATATCCAAGAAATGTTCAGAATTTCATTATTTTCTTTCTAAATTTCTGAATACTTGCTTACTGTTCGGGTATGTTAGTCGAGTGAAAAAAATAATATGGCCCTAGATATGTTTAAAAAAAAAATATTCAGTATCATTTACTTAATATAACATCAAAAGAAAAAGAAATTCTTATTACAACATGTTTTATATTTGACAATACATTTAGTATAACAATGATATTTCTTAAGAAAGCGTGGTAATTTTGACAGTTGGCATATGCGGTAACCATGGAAACTGCCCGTTTACAAAAAACTAACACTTCAACATATATATTTTATTTCTATTTTTGAATCCACAATCAAATGTTACTTGATATATCAATAATGTAGAAAATTCTATAAAAGAAATTTCTTGATAGCTTTAATTTTTTACAGAAAATTTTCATGTTTATTTTATCTCATTTTTTGTTTAGTTAAAAAGCATGAAAACTCATTTTTTAAAGAAATATGTCCAAATTATCGTTTGTTTTTATACAGAACCCTAAGATAAAGCAAGCTTTGTATAAAATTATGTTTATTGTGAGTGTAATAAGCTATTTTATACATTATTATAATACAGTTTGGATATTTTGACAATTTTGAGATATACGGTTACCATGGAAACTGCCATTTTTCAAAAAATCCAACACGCCAACATGTATTTTTCTTTTTCTTTTTGAATTTGTCATTAAATTTTACACAATATATAAAAAAATTAGAAAATTCTATGAAACACCTTTTTCAATATCTCTAACTATTCTGAGAATTCATGTTCATTTTTCTCATTTTTTGTTCGGTTAAGGAACATGGAAAACTCATTTTTTAAAAAAATATGTTCAGATTATCATTTGTTTCATACAGAATCATTAGATAAGGTTATCTTTGCATAAAACAATGCTCGTTGTGTGTTTTAAGCTATCTTATACATTTTCTATTCGTTATAACACAGTTAGGCTATTTTGACAGTTTTTAGATATACGGTTACCATGGAAACTGCCATTTTACAAGAAATCCAACACGTCAACATATATTTTTCTTTTTCTTTTTAAATTCGTCATTAAATTTTACTCATCATACAAAAAATTTAGAAAATTCTATGAAAGGATTATTTTTTCATAAAACTGTAGAAAATGTCTTTAAACTATTCTAAGCTAATGAACTTTCAGGCACTATTTAATTATCCCAAGCTAGAAACTTTTCTAACACTATATGAACTCTCATAAGCTAAATAGTTTTCAGACACTACTTAAACTCTCCCAAGCTGGTATTATTTAAACTCGGTTTAAACATATTTATTTAGGCTTGATTGCGAAACAAGTTCTTGCAACTTATATTAATCACTTTCGAGTTCGCTTCCTGGAACCAACCAGTACTTGTGTCATATGAAGAAACATGGTCATGAACTCGAACCCATGATCTCTGGGTTGAGAGGCAGACACCTTAACCACTAGGCCACCGCTTCCCTTAAACTCTCCAAAGCTACCTAGTTTTCCGACACTATTTAAACTCTCCCAAGTTAGATAGTTTTTCAACACTTTTAACTTTCCAAAGCTAGATAGTTTTCTGACATAATTTAATTCTAAACCCCCAAACTAGATATTTTTTCAACAACATTTAAACTGTACCATGCTTAGTAGTTTTCTGACATTATTTAAACTTTCTCAAGCTAGGCAGTTTTCCGACACTATTAAACTAAAGCTAGATAGTTTGAGACCATTTAATTTCAAACTCTTAGATAATTTCCTGACACCATCAAACTGTCCAAAGCTATATAGTTTTCCAACAACATTTATACTGTTCCGAGCTATAGTTTTCAATCACCATTTTTACTCTGACAAACTAGATTATTTTATGTTTCCACTTTTACTTTCTTGTCAGTTTTTTTTATTAAACTAAGCAGTTAAGCACATGTGAATCAATGTTCCTGACCATAATTTCTTGGTAATGAACCCCCCTTAAGTTTATGTACTTCATTTAACACCTAACCCTGTTAAAACCAAATGTGATTAGCCTTCAGCACTTGTCCATCCAGGCATTATTTTTATATTGCAGTCTGACCCGCCTAAACAAGAGGGCCATGATGGCCCTAGATCGCTCACCTGACCCATCAAGCTCATCCAAACAATTACCTACACAAGCATTCTGACAAAGTCTCATGATAGGTGAGTCAAAAATGTGACCACTACAGTGTTAACAAGGATTATCCATATTTGAGCAGTGTGACCTAGTTTTTTACCCAGGTGACCCATATTCAAACTTGACCTAGAAATCATCAAAACAAACTTTTTGACCAATTTCCAGGATACTTAGATCAAAACAGAAGCAACAAGAGTGTTAACAAGATTTTTCTATTTTTAGCTCCGGTG